CTAATGTTCTGTGTGACCGCAGCCTCAGTGAATGTGTGAACCAAGGTTTCCCTGTCCAAGTCAAGCACTCAAGCCACTATATCAGCCTAGCAAAGCAAAATGTCTGCTTTGAAGGCACAAGATATACTTACGCCCTCACTAGAGAAAAACACAGCCTTCCCCAGCATGCTATATTTAGGACATGAGAAATGCCTCATGGAATCCTAAACATTACTTTTGTGAGCTTTCAATAAAGACAAATACTTCATGGGATATTGACTTGACACAGGTGAAGCAGGTTCATGAAAAGTCTGAAGAAAACCGTAAGGGTGAGACCCAAGACATACCATTGCCATAAGCCCAGTCATCGTTGAGGCGATGCCGCACTTTCTGGTATATTGCTGACATGGTCTTCATGTTGCTCTTCCTCCACTGTCGCCCCAAATACTTTGTCTGCACCTTGAGAAGCTTCAGAACATAGAGCTGCATCATGGCTTGCTTAACTTTGAGAGCTCGTTTCAGAATGGGAGCAGACTTGAATACCACCAACATCTGGGGAATTAAGGTAACACAGGGTCAATTCTCTAAAGCTGTACTTCTTGCCCATGACCAAGGCTTTGGTAAATTTTCTATAAAGCCTTAATGGAGCTAGGAACAACATACACAGCAGGTACACAGACAGATGAGGTTCGATAGAAGAGCTTCTACTCACCATTGTCCTGGAGTGTTTCCACTTGGTTAACTTATTTAGTATCCTAAGAAGATTGATGCAGGAAAACAGATTGCGCCAGCAAAACTGATTGTTGTCCCCAGCTTCCTATAAGAAAAAGCAGCACTGAGTACAAGTGAACAAATGCGACTGAGAAGAAAAGCCAGAATTAGGAAGCGCCCCTTGTTGATAATGCTAAATTTAATGCTGTCTCCACCACCTCTACATATTCCTTGTCAAGGTAAAAGTTACAGGCAGCTTTGCTCACCAGGCTCTCTGCTGTCAGCTCAGGTAATTCATGTACCACACAGTAGGGATAATCTAAAACAGAGATGCTAAAACAGAAGAACACAAATAGATCAGAATGATAACCA